CGCTCTACAGCCCTTTGCCCATCTCCAGCGGGGCGCCGGTATCTCACCCGGGCTTCTGCCGGTCCGTGGAGACGTCTCCGTCGGGTACTCTCCTCTGCCGGGCAACTCGGTACGTCGAGACTATCTCCCCACGGCAGATTCGAGCACCTCGACCTCAACTAAACACTGACACAATCTTACGAGAGCCTTGACGTAACTGTACGAATCAATCCGAGAGCGTACCTTCTGAGCAGGGTGGCGACCCGAAGAGAACCAGAAATCGAGAACGTTATCTATATCAGTAACCGGAGCCGCCTTGGGACCGTGATTCGAAAAATCACATCACACCCTATATGTAACATCACGCAAGGCAAAGATCAGGGTTTGAGTCCTGTTTACGATACATTACTATCGACTTCCACAGAAGAATGTAACTGATTATTCCATACCATCTGACCCAACTCTGTTCGTGTCCAAGGTGTAAGCTTTGTAGGTCCACACCATTTTATCCACGTGCCTGTTTTGCTGACAGTGTTATTATCTTGAGAATTCCTGTCCTAGCCAACAAAGGAACAGTTATTAGCATATATCCTTATTTTAAGAGAGGACAGCCGTAAAAAAAAGAACGAAGGAAGGTATCTACCCACAGATCCTTCTTGCACCCCTACCGTCAGTTACGAGCTAGTCCCAGTTTCCTTTTTTTGCTCGTTCGTTATGCGTAGATTAACGGACGTGGCATCTTCGGTGGATAGGCGCTAGAATCCTTCGGTAAAGGTATTAGTATCGGTAAAGCCTCGAAAATAGTCTTGAAAATAGTCTCGAAAATACAAGAAATAAGACCAAGACAATTAGGAGAAGTGTCAAAATGGCGAAGATTCGCAAATAACTGTTTGATCGTTTTCTGCACACAATCGAATCCTTGCATGCCTAAACTCCTGCATTTAAGTATTCACAAGGTTTACAGCTATTATGGCAGATACCATTTGCCACGTCATAGTTTACAACAAGATAACTGTAACGCTTCATTGTTGTTAGGATACTAAGTAGCGCCCGTTTACTATTTCGGTGGAACCTGAACGTTTAGCTGGCTGGATGTGACACAGCCGAATTTTACGAAACATCAGCTATGCCGACATCTTGCCTTCTAGACGTACAGTTTATAGATGATATCACTTTTCAAATGCTTTATTCTAAACATGACAACTTAGAACTGACAAAAAGCAGCAGGAAGCAAATAGCGAGCGGCGTACTCTTGATTGTGAAAATACATTGATAGACCTTACGGAAAAAAGAACTCGTTGTAGTTAATATTAAGATTGAATAGTAACTATTCAACATCAACAGTGCGTACTTTTAGAAAACAATAGTAACTGTTGGGGAGATCATCATTCAGAAAAATTACTGTTGAAATTTAATAGTAATGAGTATTGGTGTACAACATTAACTACTAGGACGTTATTATTTACAGTAGTTACTCCTGAATGTCATTAGTAATTATTATTAATGGGCAACAGTAACTGTTTTTATTGACAATAGTAATTAGTGATTAAACGAACTTACCTAACTGAAGTTAAATCCTGATTCAATGAAACGCCTCTCCCGAATAGATCATAGATGTAGTACCCCCAATTCCCACAGTGTCCCCACAAATTTTAAAGCTAGGAAAAAAATTTCCCTAACGACGCGATCCTGCGTACGTGGTGCTCGTTCCGTCCACCCCACCTGACTCGCGTCCATCTTGAACCTTCATTTTTCAAAAACACTGCCGTAATTTAATCTACGGGTATCTCGCCAAACATGCAAGGGCAGGAGGGACTGATCCATTCGGAAGAGGCGCCTCATACAATCATAATTTAACTTCATTTAGATAAGTTCGTTTAATCATTAATTGTATTTCACGCCTCTTCCTCTAGATCATAGATCTAGTCTTTTAAAGATAGTTGATAGTTACGGCAGATATGCTTATGATAAGCCATTTTATTTCCCCTTTATTAAAATTATAAAAATAGGCTTAACCATAAAGATCCAGGATCCATCTCCACATGAGAGATAGTACCATATAAGCCTATCGGCACTGTTTGCAAAATCTGATCATCTTGTTTGTACTTGTGTTTCCAATACCACTTCTGCCAATTGCATGTTTTCCGTTGAAACACAACGATCATAAAATCAAGCAAATGTCTCTGAGTCTTTCGACCACCCGGCAGTTTTTCGGATTACGTCACTATTGGCGTCCTGACATTTTGCTGCTGACGTCGCCACATGTCGAGTGCTATATACCGAAAAAACGTTAGTATCGATGCCACTTTTAGACATAACTAACTTTATCCATCAACTCAAAGTCTGTGTTCCAACCCCCCTTTATGGTTTCTTAAAAGAAATAAACAGTTTAACTTCTGATCTTCGCAATTCGTTGGTTCTTTCTGAATAAGCTAGCAGCACTGAGGCCCCGTAGACCGGTTTATCCTGAGTAAAGAACGGTAATCTTGGAACCAGCTGTTTTTTTCTCGGACCTGAAGTTTTTATCGCATCGGGAATTTTTATTTCCAATACATTATCGATTACCCGGTAAATATTTCTCGTATCAATAAGAGACAGAGTCTGCATTCGATGTCCCGTCGATATTGCGAACAAGATCACCAACTTTAGAGTTAAGTTTTCCAAACCAGTCTTTTCGATTGGATAAAACGTTGATAAATATCTCAAAATAATCTTGGGATCCCAGGTCGAATCGTATCTGGGTGCTGCCGATTTGAGCTTTGCTACGCCCTTAAAGAAGCTTTGAATATTATTGTTTTTTCCCAACTCGAGTCCTACAATTAGTTTAACGAATTATATAAAGCATCTTTTTTGAATTCTTCAGTGGAAAATAATAACACATTGTTTTCGGAGCCGCTAAACGGGTCAAATTTTTCGGCAGAATTAAAGAGCCACTATCTTTTTAACCCACAATCATATTGGCGTAGCGATGAATTTGAGTCTGATCCCACCGGAATCCCTGTCTTGATAAACGCTTCCCGGACAACCTGGCAGCTACCAGCGTAAGGCAATCCCACAATGGATGTGTCTCCTTGCAGGAAGATTTAATTAAGGGAGGGTCTACCCTAATTAGAATTTTCAAAAAATCGTTTTTTTTTAATTGCATTTTTCGAAAGTATACATATTTAAAAGTATCATACTAAAATTTTATAAAGACCCGAGAGCAGTCTAAGTATACTTTTGAGCGACGTTTACTTAGCTACCTGAGCGCGCTAATATACGCACCGCTCGGAGCGGTACTACCTTCCTGCCTTTTTATACATAAGGAGCTGCTACCTTTTGTAAATATACTATCCGTACTACATTTTGGATGAAAATGAGCGCTATGAAGAAACTGAAGGCATAATGTATGGTGCAGGCATCGCTGATTAGATGTAAGTAAGATTTGTTCACCATTTTTCGTTAAAGAAAACTTTAAACGCGTTTTTCTCAAAAAGACGTTTTTGGACGGCTTGTTGATAAAATCTCCGAAACTATTCAACCGACCCTTACCAAAATTTTACCACATGTTCTTTATGACTATAGCTATAGCGCATATCATACGAATTTTGAAATTTTTAGTGTTACTATTTTTTTTTGCAAAAAACGATGAAAAAAAACGTGCTTTTTCGTAGTTTTTGGAAAAATGGCCGCCATTTTGTCATTTTTTAAAATATCAAAAATCGTACGATATGCGCTATAGCCATTTACCTACTGAATCTAAAACCATTTTTTTTTCAGATCATCCATTCCAGAGATTTTATCAACAGCGCACACCCATCTTTTTTTTTGGACCTGTCTTCTCCCCCATTTTTCTCTACAAAAACTGAGTAAAATGAATATAAAAAAAAATTTTTTTTGTGTTTTAAGAGTGTATTTTTTAGGTCTAACACTTTTTATATCCATATTTATAATATATACCGGTCAAAAAAATTGGTGAAAATAGCCTTTTTTGCCCGTCTAGTTAGGGTAGACCCCTTAAATTAACATTTGGTTTGAATATAATTGGTTCGGCGTCCAACAAAGATAAATATAAGGCAAACCACGGCTGAGCATCCCAGTACGGCACAACTACTACCTCGCAAGATTTATCACTTTCGATTTTTCTCAATATTCTCAAAATAACAGAGAAGGGTGGAAGAGCATATAAAAATCAACGCCTTCGCCTGAGAGTGAAAGCATCGATTGCAACGGATTCGAGATCTATGCGCCACGAAACATAATTACTGCATTTTATATTTGCTCGCGACGTGAATAAATGAAATTCTGGTCGGTCAAAGGTTTCTACTATTCTTTTAAACGCTCTATGCGAAAGCTCAAATTCCGTCTCGAGCTGTAATCTTCGCGATTTCTGATCAGCCTCGACGTTGTCACCCGATCGGATAAACGACGCTGAAATCCAAATGTCTCTCCGCTTACACCACTGCCAAATTTCTTTGACGAGGGAGGTAAATTTCTCGTATTGACTGTCTCTCATTCGTCTTATATAAGCAATTGCGGTCGTGTTGTCTATGCGTTATAAGATGTTACTATGTCTTATATCACTTGCGAAGCATTTTAATCCGAAGAAAGCCGCTTTTAACTCTAGTTCATGTATGTGTAGCACTAAATTTTTATCGTCCCAAAATCCATGATTTCCACGGCTTTTACAAAAAAAAAACGCTAGCAGAAACCATATTCTCTTTCCACCATACAAAGTCTTTTGCCATCATTTTTTGCAGGTACTTTTTTCGATCAAAATTATTGCCGTTGACGTCAAGCGCCAAAGTCCTTTCCTTCTTAAAATCTCTCACGTAAATCATCCCGTACTTCACAGCCGAACATCTCGAGACTAAGGTACCGACGAGGACACCAAATTCCCTTATCGTGCAATGACTCAGCTTACTAAATTTTCGCAGTAATTCGAGAATTCGTTGAACTTTGTCCTTTAGTAATTTTATAGACTTATTGGTCGAATCGAAAATCACTCCCAAGTATCTGCAGCGCTGCGCAGGTGCTGTGAGGTTCTTTTCTTCATTAATAATAAATTCTAGCTCTTGTAAGACCAGAGTTGTCTTCTTGATATTAGAAATGCATCTCTCATAAGATCTATCGATTACAAGAATATCATCGAGACAGAAAACAGAAGCTAACCCGCTCTTTCTTAAACATGCTGCTAACAGTTTCAATATTTTCGTAAACAGATAAAGTGCAACGTTGAGACTGAATGGTAAACAGGTAAACTCATACAATTCATCTTTATACAAAAACCTCAACAATTTTCTACTCTCTTTTTTTATAGAAACGAGATAGTATGAGTCTTTCAGATCCAATGTAGCCATAAAATCCTATGACCTAATCAGCTTTTTTGATACTTTCCAATCTTCAGTTTTGAAATTATCTGCGATGATAAACTCATTGAGTTTTTTAAGATTCAATATGAATCTATACGTATTATCTGGTTTTTGAACTAAAAAGATATTTGACAAAAATTGATCGTTAGACCCTGAACATTTTTCAATTGCGCCTTTAGAAATTAGCTTACTAATCTGATTGTTAA